ATGGTTTTCGTATTTGAATCTTCTTAATTCTTAAGTTAATGATTAAGCTCATGGCAATAAAATATCTGTAGAAATTCCCCTATTGCATTGTTAAAATATTTGAGCTCAACAAAATACTGCAATAACAATCATACATATAAATGCTGGTTGTTATTTTAAGAAGTGGGTACAAATGAAAAAGATCTGAAACTGACAGTTTTTTTCCAATTCACTGTTAAACACTTCTATTTTCTCTTCTTCAGTTAAAATCGTCCAAATACAGTCCTGTACAATTCTTGCTGGTTTATTATTATGTTGAAGTCTTCCTTCAGAATACGTACATTTCTGTACTGTTTCACCCTTAGTTAATGTTCACAAATCTAATTCTTGAAAAATTAATAAATAATGAGTAAATATTTAAAATGGTGTAGCTGCTTGCCATTTTGAAATTAAATGGTTTTGAAAGAAAATAGAAAATGAATTTTATTTATTACGTTTCAGCTGTTGTACACTCCAGCCTGCTTCAGGTGGTTGGAATGTTGAACTGAATCCTTTATTTCGCTCACTGGGGTAGACTGTTCTAGTTCCACGTGCCATGTTTAATGGATGTCAGTTGTCTCCTGTTAATTCCCCTCTCCAAGTTGTCCACTGCCTTAACCGGGTATTGAACTCAGACTCTTTGGGTCCTCTCACTGGATCTAACTAATGCCTCAAGGACACATGGCACAGTGGATAAAGGTGTTAGTTAGATTCATTGAGAAGACCCAAAGAGTCTGAGTTCAATACCAGGTTAAGGCAAGTGGACAACTTGGAGAGGGGAATTAACAGGAGATGTGGAACTAGAAGAGTTTACTCCAGTGAGCGGAATAAAGGGTTCAATTGAAACATTCCAACCACCTGAAGAAGGCCGAAACATTATAATAAATATGGCGACAAAGATGAGGACAATAGTCCAAATAATGTAAGTAGTGTACATAATACCTCATCTCAGAAATATAGACAGATAATGAATTTTATTGCCTAGTAAATGATATTGAATTCTTGTGTGCTATCTCCTTTCAGGATGTGGGTGATCAAGGCTCTTCACAACTTCCTATCCTTTGTATCTTTTACTAAGATTTCTGTTTCTGCCATCCATTTACACAAGCTTGTTAGAAGGTAGGTTACTGTCTCCCTCTGTCCAAACTACCTTTAATATGTCCATATTCTCCAACGCCCCTCTTTTTCCTTATTATTCATCTTAGAAATTTTAACTCCTCTCTGATTCTAAGTGTTGTTTTTGTTTCCATTTTCTCTAAAACCACATTTGTTTCTTCTTCACCTGTGATGAAAATATCCAACATTCACTGCTATAGACAAGGAATGATATTACATAACAGTTCAACACTCTTGAAGGAAATAACTATTAATTACTGTGGTAATTTTTGTATTTTTTTTTGTCTCCTAATCTTAATCAGAAATGTATTCATCAAAGCCACATTAATCAAGTATTTGTCTTCTCCTTAGAATAATCATTCTTGTCAATTTTCTTTTCTCAGATTAAAGAAAACTTTCATAATTAAACTTCAGAAACTTACTAACACTTCTGATATTTACTACCAAAAGCTTTCCAAATTCAAATTGTTTGGTTCTGAAAATTTAAAAATTTAATACCAACCTGCCTAGTTTATGACTATGCAAACTATTCGCCTCATCTTTGTCTTCAGTTTTTATGATAAAAATCATGGATTATAGTCCACATGTAAATAATAATAACTCTTCATCCAAGAAATTCAGCCAAAAACAATCTTCCTAGATGAGGAAGTCCTACTAAAAAAATGTTTTCCGACAGGGATTGACCCCCCAGTATCTGCTTTATACATCAGGGAAACCACTCCTTTGCCCGCCAATCTAAATTATGGCGTAACCAATTTGGCCATGGGAGACCATCTTGATAAAGCAAAGTTCAATTAACCTATTTAAGGAATGCATATCTCTTATTGGGACTTCCTTCCTTGGGTGACGTATCTATTTACATTGTTGTCCTCATCTTTATTGTCATATCCACATTTTGGCTGTTGTATGTTCCAGCCTTCTTCAAGTGATATTTGTTTGAGTTTCAATGGACTATTCTGGGTTCAGTTCATAATTCAAACAAATATCACCTGAAGAAGGCTGGAGTGTACAATGGCTGAAACGTTGTAGATGTGACAATAAAGATGAGGACAAGCTAGTTTCATTTTTGTACTCAAAATGTAAACAAAGTAATTTTTAAATTTTGGTCAGTGCATGTGTTTCAGTTGATATTCCTGCTTTTTCATTTTCTTAAATGAAATGAACCTGTATCCTTTATAAGGTGCTATCACTTCACAAAGTAAGATATATTCACTAATTGAAATCTTTGAAACAAAAATTTTAAATGAACATTTCATTCATAAAATTGGCTTGTTATTTTTAAGGAAAGTTTTACAACTTGTTTAAGGACAAGTAAAATGCAAATTTCAAACAATTTTCTGCACTATATAAGACTATATTTCTAAACAGAACAATTTTTGATATGAAAATCAAAACAATCCTCAAATAAAAGAACAGTAATGAAGGACAGTTGATTAATGAAATAAACTTTTTTAAAATCAATATGCAAATTAGTTAAACCTGAAGAGTGATCTTGCCTCGAAGTACATAATATATAATGCAGATATTGAGCTTCTAGTGCGTACCTTACTCTTTTTGAGTAGGTAGACATCTACTTATGATCTCTCAGTTGTGTCTCTGTCTTTGGGCAGAGTGTGCTTAGGGGCGACTCCATCAAAGGACAGAGTCGCAACTGAGGAAAATTATACTGAGAGGTGCCTAGAGAGAAGGATCGGTGCACACACCGGGGGCTCAGGGAATTTGTTCCTTGCCCAGGTGCTTGGGCTCCCCACATTAAACCCAAATTGTGTCACAATGTGACCTCATGGGGAGGTTGAGTAAATATCTACTCTTTTTGAGTAGGTACACATCTACTTATCATCTCTCAGTTGCGTCTCTGTCAAAGGACAGAGTCACAACTGAGGATAATAATATTGAAGAGGTACCCAGTCCTGGGGAACAGCTGCCCGAGGCCGCGCCCTTCCATTGCACAGATGGTTGCAGGGGGCTGTGGGGAATTTTTGTTCCTGTCCCCACCTAAAAATAGTGTCACATCTCCTCCTAGTGGGGGGGGGGACAGTAAATACCGTGTGTAAATTACTATAGAGTTGGGGCTTTTTAATCTCAGAATTCATGGGAGAATTGAGGTCTAATTTTGCATTTATTCATTTAGATTCCATAATATAGGTTTTACTTAATTAGCTATTATTGTTTCTCTAACTCTTCAAATGTTGAATGTATAACTAATTTTAATTTCCCATCTTTACACCATATTAATTTTATCTAATAAATTGTCCTAGTCTGTCACCCATGAAATAAAAATAATTGTCTGTACAGAAAATAAGGATCTATGTACATCAAATCGTCTTTAAATTAAATGGCAGCAGAAGAATTATCGTTGAACTTTTGAAAGGTAAGCTTAAACATTAATTCAATGCAGCAATTAATTTTGAATTCTTCTGTAGTTTGATGCCTATTGCATCTACTCCTTCCTAGCTATTGTGAAGATGGCCAAACCAAGAGCCCTCCACAGGATCTAGTTTAAATGCTGCCTGATAGGTCAGCTTTAAGCTAGCTGCAATTTCAGATACAAAAAAGAAAATGAGAGTTACTCCCCTTGAACCATAAAAGTCATGATAAATATATTAATATATATTTTTAACCTTGCATAATCTGGCATACCTGAATTTGAGCTCAACAAAAATCATTCCCTGTACCTAACTTTTCTAGGGCTTTTGAGTAAGCTATGAATCATTGGAATCGCACCAGTGAGAGTGGAGGAGTTGCTTGGACACACACATTGTACTTTATATATAAGATTAATTTCACTGTTTAAGAAAGTAAAAAACATGGATATCAATTTCAGATTTTTTTACAGAATTGATATAAAGAGGATTTTATTCTGTAAGAAATAAAACTTTTATTGCGTTGATGAAATGATTACCTTGAAGAGAGTATGCTAAATAATTCTTCAAAACAAATTTCAATGTCCATTAGAAGACCGTTAAAAATGTTTTGGATTTAAAAATATTGAAATGGCTAAACCATTTAGCAGCTGTGTGTGTGTTTCTTTCTTCTTGCCAACTATTGAGTTACTGATGTGTGTCTAAGTATCTTTATGCATTAAGGGAAAGGAATTAACTTCCACATACTTTTACTATTGGAAAAATAATATTTAACAGAATTAAACAATTGATTATTCTGTGTATTAAAAACATACAGACAATTGGATAAATATAGGAAAACTGATTCAACACACTCTTTCAATTGGGAAGGGCTTTCCTGCCTTGAAAACTACATTCACAACTTGTCTTTACTTAAGATTTCAACACCAGCCATTGGTACCAGCAATGACTATGCTACTTTCTCAACCACAAAGAAAATCAGGTGATGTCAAATTTTGTAATCATTAGCAGAATATTTAAAAAAAAAAAACAAAACAAAACACATACACACACTTGCATAATGCAACTTGTATATTTAAATTAGAAATATAGCATTTCTAAAATGTCAGAATGAAGCCAATAAAAAAAAAATCTATGATAATGATAGCAACAATGTTCCTGGTGATATGACAAATTATTTGATTAAAAATAATGTTTGTGCTTAAACTACAGCTACCAGTATTTTCCATGCCATTATTATTGTAATGATTATAGTACTTGTGATAATAGTTTATGCAGGGTGCTCCAATAATGTTGCCTTGCACCAGGAATGGATTTATATATGTGTTAATATTAACAACTTGAAAGTGCATATACTGTACTCATCAATAGATTGCCTTTGAAATTGGTAATAGCCAGGATTGTGTATACAGATTTCTTCTTCTAAGTTAATAAATTAAGGTAATAACTTTATTAACTAAACTCATGCATATTGTTTTATATACACTTTTCTTCGGGGCGCTTACAGCCATATTGAATTGAAAAACACTAGTTCTCATATGATCATCAAAGTTAAGCAACATCAAGCCTGGTCAGTACCTTGATGGGTGACCTCATGGGAATACCAGGTGCTGTAAGCTTGGATGTGTGTGTGGTGTAATGGATAATGACCAAAATCGAAGAGCTGAGTTTTATATTCTTACAAATAACTCTTCTCTCCCCCCAGCTATGGGTTAATTAGAACTTGTAACAGTAAAACACCTCAAAAAAATCATTAGTCTAAAAATATTTTCTAGCTTTAAAAAGGTTGATAAAAAGAAACAACTAGTCAGTCACTTTTCTTCAGCCTTAAATTTTGTGTGATAGTCATACAAGAAAAATCAGATTCTCAAAATTTACTCTTGAAAACTGAAGATGGATCGAGTTCAATAAGAACATTGATTATGAAGCCAAACACTAGTATTTTCTGAAGGGCAGCAAGAATGCTTCAAGGAAGTTAATTCAGTTGCAGGATTTTTAAAAAGGGAGGCAACTACAGAAATTTTGATTTGTAATTATTTTGCCTTATTTTTCTAATGACATCAAACTGAGGGGTTTGAGTAATTGCAATGAAAAGCAAACAAAAGACAATTTAATCTTTAGTTTTCTATAATCTCTTTGAGGAAAATGTTACATTCTTTTTTTTTTTTTCTTGAGTTCTTTAAAATTTGATGCCATGTAAAAAAAAAAAAAAAAAAAATAAAATCCTGAGTCGGCCAAATTAGAGGTAAATCATGATCATCAGTCCCTCATAACCAGGTGTGTATTGTAGGGTTGTTGTGCAATTGATCACTTGGCCAATTCACTCCTCATAACCTGGTTGAAAGATGAAGAGGTATTCATTCATGCATAAAGTGCCTCAAGCAAGCAAACCTGGCAGAACCCATCCCTCTCTAGATTAAACCACAGCTAGTATTTTTCAAACTGTCATGAATATGGAGCCATTGATTCCATCCAGGAACCCTCCACCCTGGCTTTTTATTCAAAAAATCCTGTTTAGCTGGTAACATTTTTTTTAGATTTGAAACTCAAAAGGAAAATTGAAATCTGTCTCCCTCTCGCTGCCAGGGAAAGACTGAAATCAAGTTTCTTAGTTTGCTCTCAATTGAACTTTGTATATGTCGTGATAATCTTATAAATAAGGTGCTGGCTGCTTAGAAAATCAACATTTCTAAAATCTTAGCTAGTAACTAGGCCTTGAACACTAACCTCTGTCTCCAGTTCAAAATATTGGTTCTGGATCTAAAATGGCATTTTAAAAATGAAAGGCCACATTGATTGCAGAAAATTAACCATGGGCTCCAAGAGTAAATCGAGTATGTGCGAAAGAAACAAATATACAGTTAAAAGGTTTAATTAGAAACGAAGATGGGGAAATATTTGGTCGAATAAAGTCATATTTTGATGAACACAAAAAAAATTACTATTTTCTGAAGGCCTGATGTAGAAGGTTCAGTCTTTTAGTAATTGTGAAAGACAGCTATGACAAAATGTCAATAAAGATGTACAAAATTTAATTTAAAGTAAAAAATGTTAATAGTTTTCAGGGATTGCTTATTTTTCTTTAATATAAATTTACCATGATTGAGTATATTTGGAAGGAAAAGGCTGGTCATCAAACCCTATGAAATGAAGTTAATATATAAAACAGCACTGAATAAAATGACTAAAAGAATTAGTGAGCACATTAAGCACTGAAAACCTCAGTAGACCTAGCCTAAAAATGACCACCATTTGAATAAGAAAGATGCTCAAAATCTCTGACTTTTGTATATATTTAAAACTTCAAAATTAGTCCACAAAAGACCCCTGAACAAATGGATTAAAACATATGATGTGAGTTCAATCTCAAGGTAAAGTAGTGCTGAAGAAATGGACAAGTGGCACAAAGATGAATAAGACACGGGATATTTCATATTATTTCATACTCACCAAAGCAATAAAAACATTCTACCACCATGGATTGAATAGATGGTAAGGTTAAAAAACACCTGAAGAAGGTCCATAGGTACATCCAAAATGCATATAATAATGGAACTACTTAAGTCTAGCATTCAAATCTATCATTAAACTTAATAATATACTGTAGTTGGTTGGTTGTGCAAAAAAATTAGCTTCAATGAATTAAGCCAATGCAAATTACTAGTAGAGCAGTAAAATGGAAAATACGTTCTTACATTGACTAAATATTGTCTGAGAATTTATTTTGATGACTTTCTTTGATCAATCACAACAACATTACAGCTGATGTGTTTAGCATTTTTTAAGGGTGTACTTCATCTGATAGGAAGTTTTTGCTGAGAGTTCTAGATTTAGATGTTGATTTTTTTACAGCTTATCAACACTTTGCAGGTTATTTAAAGCCAGATAATATTTTTAGATTGTAAGAATTTTTTTTTTTAGATAAAAGTTTAGTGATACAAGTCTTATTAATTAACCCATAGCGGGGGGGATGGAGTGATATTTTTTCCAAGAGTATTTGCATGTAAGTGAATATAACGCACCTAACACAAATTGGAACTCTGCTCTTCAATTAACAATTCTGAGCCATTATCCATTACACAACCCTCACATCCAAGCTTACAGCACCTGGTATTCCCAAGTAGGCACCCATCTAGGTACTGACCAGGCTTCATGTTGCTTAACATTAGTGATCATATGAAAACTGGTGTTTCAGCATGATGCAGCCATAAGCAGATTTTTTTTTTTTTTTGGAAGACGATGGTAATTAAGAAGAAAGTCTTAAAAGAATATTACTGGAGGTTTTATCTCTTATAATTCTGTAACTAATTGATGTGGCCATTGCTGGAAAATAAAAATTGACCCCAAGCAGAAAACTCCCATGAAAACATTTTTGATATAGCATAATTTTTATAAATCAAATTGGTTGTTTTATAAAAAAAGAAACAAACAAACATGCTTAGATAAATATCAAAATGTAAATGTCAGATTTGGTTTCAAACTTTTTTTTTTAGAAAACACACACTGGGTTTAATTCGTCTTTTATAAACTGTTAAATTAAAGCTCAAACTGTGGTCTGAAATTAAATTCACAAACTTAAAGCAAAAGATTCCAATTACATCAGACCTTAGGAATTGTTACAGCAGCAGAGAATATTAAATGAGATACAACTGTATTCTTTATTTCTTTACTAGAAATAGACATGACTTATAGAAGTTATTTTCTGCTGTGTTGAGAAGGCAATCTGTGATTGATTGTTAAATATGGTTCTCAGCAGCACAGAAAACATGAATGAAACAGCTGTTTATACAAATTGTATTGTCAAGATTTATTAAGGAATACTCACAGTCACATGTTAGAAATGGATCTTTTTTTCAAAAATAGAGATTGTTCCCCCTTCAAATATCAGCACTTGAAGGTTGAATCCTGTAGAAATTGAATGCCTACCTTGTGAAATTAACTGATCTACAATCATCAAACTGATGCTATGTATCTGAATTTCAAGCTAGATAGATGAAGTTATGTATAATATAAAATGTGGCTCAACAAAAGCTTTTTGTTTGAAGTTTTGGAATGGAGAGTTACCATTATTTATATTCCCTATTGTCCACATTTTGGCCTCTGACTCTGTTCAGGTGATTGTCAATCTTGGTAACCTTCAGGGAATTTCAAACTGAACCCTTTATTTAGATTGTTTTCATTGTCCATGTATATGGATATCTCATCTTGTTCTTATTTATGGCTTGCTCTATTTCCAAGAAAGTCTAAGTCTGCACTAACCAGACCAGGGATTGAACTCACAATTACTATGTCACAAAATCCACAAACCTATGCTTTAATCCAAGTCTATAACTTAGAGCCTTAAACCTGATCTACCTGTTGCTGACACTGGTCATTCAGGATAAAGAGAAACTGCAAAGAAATAATTTGCTATCAAATATTTTCTGACCAATCAAATGTATTTATATTAACCCAATGCACAAAGCTGTCAAAAGAGATGCAATTGGAAAAAAATAGATTTAACAATGAACAGAGAGACATTTTTTTTTTCTTTCAATAAGTGAACATTTTAGGGTTTTTGTTCTTTATTTTACATAAAGATGCATAGTCAAATAGTCTGTATTATTCAAACATTTTACACAACCTAAAAACAATCTTCTTTCTTATTGTCTTCAATCTAAATACATGTCTGTATTGGTTTCCTTTTCGCTTGTCATTGTTTATAGGAGTCCCCTTTTTTTTCTTTTTTCAACACAACAAAACTAAGGAATGTCCTTTCATTCAGAGACTGCCACAGACTTTTTTTTGTTAAACATTCGTGTTGTGAATGTACACGAGCATTTTTTTTGAGTTTTCTTATTGTAACTAATGCTGTCAACAGTTTTGTGATGGTTTAAATATATTCAAGAAAGGAAGTTAAAAGTCTTTATTTTTTTTCTAGTCCACGGTTAAAGTAGAAAGAGGAAGCTTTCTTGTCCAGTTTTTTTTTTTTTTTTTGTCTGGTGTCATTACTTGTCACTTCCATAATAATAATAATAATAATAATCAGTACAGTTTAATTTCCATAATAAATCAGAAAGAGAAGAGGGAAAAAAAAAGAAAGAAAAAAAAAAAAAAAAATCTTTCCCCAGAAAGGGTGGAACTGACAGCTTCTAGAATGAATAGAATTAGTTGTAATGTTTCTCTTTCAAGCTGGAGAATATAAGAAGAAAAAAAAAAACTGTCAAAAATGATTCCCATTATTTATTTTTTATTAATAAAATTTATTATTTTTATTCTTTCATTCATATATACCAAATTTTGAGATTCAAAAAAAAAAAAGAAAGAAAAAGTTTTCCTAAAAATTAATGTGAAAATTAAGAAATATGTGAAATAAAAGGAAAAAATATGAAGTGAAAAAAAAAATAAACTGCAATGGTTTTAAATACTAAAAAAATTAAAAATCTAATTCTTTGAAATAGATTTTATTAAAAGTTTTTTTCTTTTTGTCTTTTTTTAACCTTTTTCTTCATAAAAATAAAAAATGTGTTATCTAAACTTTTGAAGGAAAGAAAGAAAAAAGTGACAAGAGGGAGGGAGGGAGGGGGGAGACTGTTGTAATCACTTCTTAATTTCTTTCTGTTCTTGTCCAACAGTTTCAAAGTGTCTATTTCATTTCAAGCCTAACAACCTTTAAGTTAGCATCCTGACAGCATTCCACTAGCCGGTCTGTCCTCATACAGTGTACTTTTCTTTCTTAATAAGAGATAACAAGTCAGGACCTTATGGTGGTTAAGGCAGTATGGAAGCTTCATGGTGCAACCACGATACATGTGAAGTGTAATAGTAGTAGTAATAGTTGTAGTAGTAGTATGAAGAAATGCCCGGAGCCTCAATATATATATGTGTGTATGTGTATGTGTATATAAATACATTATGTACACGGTACAAAAGAGAAGGGCAGAGGCATCATCAAGGTTATTGAAGTCAGCTGCCTCTGTTTCCGCCCACCTCTGTTGTTGTCCGTTGTTTTAAGCGAGTGGAGTCCACTGTGTCCAGCAAGGTTTTGGAGTCCACAGCAAGATTGTGCGCCGCCTTCAGCATCCGTTTCAAATATTCTCCATCTAGAGCCACGCTGTATTGTTGGGCAAGTCTCATGGCATCTATCAGGGAGGCCATGTCACTACTTAAGACTTTCTGTGCCGATTCAATCTGTAAAGAAAGTGGGCAAAAAATTTCAATAAATAATAGCAAATATATACAGAACAAATTTACATATTCATAGAATATGAGGCCTGATGATAAATAAATTAAGGCAATATACTGGAATGAGTTTGAAAAAAATAAAATAAATCCACATTGAATAGCTCCATACTGTCAATAACACTTGCCTTGAAAACCAAGAATTCAAAATTTTTTCCAGACATTTTAAGTCAAATTTTCCCTTCCCTGCTAGAAACAAAATTAGAACCTCTTTGATGCATCAGTCAAGTTAGTGAGATTGTTGAGTGAATGATTCATTTGATTTTTATGGCTTGTCAACCCTTTGTGGGTTATTTAAAGTATTAATATAACACTTTTTTTGCTAATGAATATTGCATTAACAATATTTGAGAATAACAATGATTTTTTCCTGATACAAGTTCTACTATTTAACCCATAGCTGAGGGTGGGGATTTGATTCATACTTTTCCCAAGGACATTTTGCATGTAAGAGAATGAAATGAACCTGACAAAGTCAATAAGAAGCAATAAACAAAATGTTTACCTATATGGGCAAGATTTAAATTTATTAAAAGAAAACTTTTCTTACAGCCATAATTGGTTGTTTTTGTAGTCTTTTTTTTTTCCCCCAATTTAAAATAAAATGTCAACCTTTTATTTATATTTTTAAAGTAATAATGCCAATTTTTTTTTTTTTTTTTTTTTAATTTATTGTTTATAATATATTGTTTGATAAATTTTCATGAATATTACTGGCTTGGTTAAACATGCACTAGTTTTTTTTCTTTTTTTTTTTTAACCTAGACGGATAATTGGGAAATGTTAATAAAATGTGAAAGTGAAGTATTAATGCCTACCAACATTATGCCCATGCTACTCAACAGTTTTCTGCAAGATATTCAACGAATTCCTTTGCTGGTACAAACCCTAAACAAGATAGCACATGACTTTCAGTTATGCAACCTACAACTGTTGTTGTTGTATCCATCAACAGGTGCAAAAAGTATGAAATAATATATTACATGATATTATTTCCCATTTGTACAATGACATGCATATAAAAGTAAAGGCTAGTGTTAATGTCCAAGGATGATATGTTGTTGTTATTTTGGAATTTCTACAAGAATTGATCTGTGTGTGTGTGTGTGTACATATATATATATATATATATATTGATGCATGTTTCATTAAATAATATAGATAAGTTTTGTCTATTTATTTTAAGTAAGTTCCTTTCATATTGTCTGATAAGCTTAATAATATTATCATTGAAAAACGAAAGGAAATATTGATATTCAATATATCAAACAATGCACGGATGAAACAATAATGATAATCTGTTTATGTTGCATGAAAAATTTCAAAGCAGCGACTAACTTGTGTATACAAGACGTGGAAGCGAAAATCACGTCGCAGCTCATGACATCACACATGACCATGTGAGAGTGAAAATGAAAAGTATTAAGTATGGGAAGCTGTTGATATAAACCAATGGCTTCTGTTATCAATTATAGGCATTTAAGAATATTTGTGGAGATTTTGTAGTTTATTTTGTTCAGGTTAGGTTTCAACTGTCTTATGTATATAGCTTCAAGAATTTTTAGTTTTTGTTTATTGTTTTCATGTTTAAGTATAGTTATGTTTTCAACAAGGATTTTCCGGAATTGTGTACACAGCCAAGCATGTTGTTTTAAATGCCTAAAAATGTTAGAGTTATCATTCAAATGTAGAGTCAAGTGTTGTGAAAGCGAGTTTGTGGTGTGACCAACATAAATATTATTTAATCCATTGGAGATACAATCTCCCAAAGGGCACTTGAATTTGTAAACTATGTTGGTTTTTTTGCAAATCACTAATGGGGAGGGGGGAAGAAAAATATTAGTATTTACTAATTTTTTTAGTATATTTTCATCTTGTTTATAATTAGTATGCATTTGACAACGATATAAGAGATTAATATGTTTATGATGACTATCATTATTGTTTCGTCCGTGTATTGGTTGATATATTGAAAAGTAATTGTCATCTTTGATAATGGCTTATGTAACCCGAAAGCTTAGATTGGATTTAAACATGTATCAATATGGTGATTTAATTTCGTCCTTCAATGATAATGTTATTAAGCTTATCAGACAATATGAAGGAACTTACTTAAAATAAATAGACAAAACTTGTCTATATTATTTAATGAAACATGCATCAATGAAAAATTGCTGCCTAAATATACACTATATATATATATATATATATATATATATATATATATACACACACACACAATGTACCTTGGCTATATATTGATGCCTTGACTGCTTGATTTGGTTTGTTTAATGGCATATCAACTACTTATGGGTCATTTCATGACAAAATTTTATTTTCTTCCAACTTTTTGTAATTTTTTTTTTTTTTAATATAAATATATTGTTTTTGGCTCTATTTTGTCTTCCTGAATCCTGTTCTTTTATTGTCTTTTTTTCCTCACTAAAGTTTTCTCATTCTCTTCCTCTCATTAACTACTTGCATCCTAGTGGCAGTACTGCTTTGCTTGTGATGAAATGATTAATAAAAAAAAAAAAATTGCCACTAGAAGTTAGCCTAAATGTTTGAAGGCTGATTTTCTGAGCAAGCCCTCCCCACATTGTGTTCTACTAAGAGAAGTACTAAGAATTAATTAATGATTCAAAAGTACAGATGCAATGAGAATAACCAATCAGAGTAGAATTATTTTAATTTTTTTGCATAAAACAATCATCTATAACGTGGAGGACAGGCACTTGTTTTTCATCGCATTATCATGTACTTTCTGACATGAGAGACAATCATGCTGAAAAGCTGCAGATACATGCTTATGGGACACCTACTGTAGTCCAATGGTTTGTAAGCTATTTCTGATGAGTGTGATCCTCATTAGGTGCCTTACTGTTCCAGATTAGGCTAAACTTCTTAAGTATTTATATATTTTCACATTTATTTTATACAAGTAGATACTTATGGAAATGGAGAAATTTTTCATTAATTCATTTGGGGGTCAATGAGTCATTATGAAGTACTGTATAATTAAGACCTTGTGTCAGATCTGCATAATTCTTTCTGACACTCAAAAATTCATCTAAGGACAACAATGAAGAGTCATTACCTGTAGATGTTCCTCAGGCTGAAGTCCAGATGACATGGCATCAACATTTGATAGCAAACCACGCAATGCTCCTCCAATTTTCTAGAAGAAAAAAAACAAGTTTATCATGAAAATTCATTAATTTTACACTGGTTTTTATATTATAAAGATGAAGTAACTCATGCACACAGACTCTTTCTCTCACACATTTTATTTATATATATCTATAAAAAATACTTACACTTATTTATGCACTATTTATATTTATCAATCACAGTGAATAATTAAACAGTACTTGATATAAAAAAGAAACAGAGTTAAAATTTATATTAAGAAGTATATAGCTGTTCCTTACCATTCAATGCTACTAATGGCCATCATCAGCATAAAAAGTTATTTTCATGCTAGACAATTTTTTCTCTCCAGAATCTATCTTACAAATTTAATTTATAAGTAGGGTACCTTCATTTTTTTTTTGCTAAAAAAGAGCAAATCCAATGAGGAAAAAAGGCCCAAAACTTGATGAAAACAAAATTTTATCGTCAAAATGTTTGTTATTATTAAGAGGAAAGACACAGTATTTTTTGATTAATTTATTAAAGTTTTTTTTAATCCTTTCTAACATGTTCAAAATTTTGGTTAAAAATCTTTTTTTTTTTCATCAGTGATGATCCAAAGATTACTATGGAAATTTTTCTGTCTTTTTGTGATAAAGAAACACATTGTTTTTGAAATGTTGTCAGATTTTAGTTGAAATTATATAAAAAAAGGTGCTCATGTCATTTTCTTAAATCATGTTTTACAGGTAAAGTCTCCTTAGAACAACAATCAATGTGTTATCACCTCGTCAGACACATAAACATGGCTACTGCTGGTTAAAAACACAACTACTGCTTAAAAAATGAATTTCTGCAATATTTTAAATTCAAAGTAAATATTTGTTTCAGATCAGATTAATTATACTTCAAATAAATCAGTTAATCTTTCTTAAATAAAGTTTCAGAAAAGCTATTTTATTTTTGCAAGATTTTTAAAACCAAGAACTAACTTGTGTTTACAAACATCTCAAAAATGGATAACTTTGATGTTACTGAAAAAAAAAAGTGGAGGAAAATAAATTCCAATCAATATAATTTCTGTTTGAAATACAGAGTATTCTGCTTACTGGAAATAATAAATTTAATCCTTCAGCTTTCAATTAAAGCTAAAATTTAAAAAAATTAATTTAAACTTTGGGTAACATGATTTTAGTGGAGTTACCTATTTATAAGTCTACCATTTGTACAGGCTTTGAATATTGCTGCCAAATATGGTCCAGTGCTCCTGCTATATATTTAGAGGTCCTGACCTGGCGTCTCAGGTTCAGTCACTTTTCCTACCAGCATAATGTAGCTTTCCTGTGCTTTTTCTATAAATACTTTCATGGTTATTGTTTGAATGCTCTCTGCTATAGTACTTAGACTTTAGGAATTTAAACAATACTAGATTAGTGGCAAGGTCTCACCAATTCACAGTTGAATTGGTGAGATGTAATCGTAAGTTTAACAGTTTCTTTTCTCTCACTTCTCACTTCTTCTGTCTTCATGCTTTCCAGCCAACTTTGATCTTCGAAAATTTAAATGCAATGTCAATCATTATCTATTCTCTTCTTTTGCTCTTGCTCCCTAAGCACACTCAATAAACATTTGTGTTTTAGTGACTTTGCTGCCTTGCTTGGGGTGAAATGATTAAAAACTTAAAGTAGCATCAGATGGTGAGGAATAATTATATATATATAATTATTCGAAAATATGGATTAAATCTGGCAGAATTATAAAATAAGTAAACAGTAAAAACTCCTCAGAAATTTAACATATTTCACTAATTTAATTTCTTCAGAAATATTAACAAACCAAAAGATCTATCAAAATGTTCCTCATGATCACAAAACTCTCCTGCAGAAACCTGAGAACAGGGTGGCTATAATTGCAATATGAAATTTGCATTAGATAATTAAAAAGTAAGAAAATAGATAAAACCCAGTCTTTTAAAAAGGATTATTTTATTTAATTCAAAAATATTTTGTTAAATATCAAAGAGACCTTGCTAGGGTCTGATTATATGTTCCCTACCAAGAAGAACAAACTCCTGGTCTGTGTGTGTTTAAAATTTGATGTTTATAAGAGAAGAGTACTCAATATTTATATATAGATAGATAGATAGAATGGACAAAGTAATCAATCGAGTTTAAAGATTGCACTGAAGACAGTCATCATGAACTGTTGATTCCTATGTTCATACATAGAGAGATCCCAATTTCAGGATTTCATTATACCAGTGAATCTAAGCAATAAAACCCAAAATAATTGTAGAAAATAATTAAAAAATGAGAATGATTTCCAAAGTCCTGAATCTAACTCATGAACAGAATTGGTGCACAAGATTTTCTTCATATTTTGCTGCTTAGATATATTTACTTTCAGGCGTTGTTTTAATTGTGATGTGTGGGATGATGAATGGTGGATGGACTTACCTGTACAAATTCTATATAGTCATCTGACCGAATGATGTAAGCTACTCGAGTCAGTTCCATCACAGCTCGTACTACGTTTGTAGTGCTTTCATACACAAGGTCATTGGTTCGATCCAAATCAGCAGTAGGTGGAATCTGGTTCTACAACATACAACAAAGTAAAGGAAAAATAAAATAAACCTGATTTGCATCTTCCTCCTGCACAGTACTGCAATAAGGGAATTTTTCATAGATAAATACATTTCTTTCTCATTCACACGTCTATGTATGTACATAAATACATACACACACACACACACACTGAATGGATTTTCTTTCTTTTTTTTTTTTTTTTTATTCCTTATTACTATAAAAGTTACTTTTAGTGAGTTGCTATCCCTGTTTTTTTTTTTAAATTGATAACAAGACTAGATCGAGAAGTCCTACTAAAGAAAGATACAAAAAAAAAAAGAAAAGTGGGATACAAGTTCGATTCCTATCAGAGGCACAATCTTTCTCTCGTTGGACTTCTTGATCTAGGATGGTTGTTAATTTCACTGTTTAAGAAAAGGAAAAATAGGGATATCAACCTAAATATGTGTACCCACTAAAAATAAGATTTATACAGTAATAAGAATATACATATATACACACACACAGAGTAGATTAGATTTCCATATTTTGATTGTACTGGCCAATTTGGCTGTTCAAAAAAAAGTATGTCTACTCAACTACATATACCCATTAAATATAAAACTTGCAGTAATAAGAAATACTGTCAGATTAAAATATATTAATGGAATTATTTTGGGTACAAAAAAAAAGGATATAGGATTTAGAAGGTCCTAATGAGGTGTGTATTTCTTAAAAAAAGGGTAATTGAGCCTTGGTTTGCTGTAAGGTCTCTTGTCATTGATTGAGCAGTTAAGGCATTCTTAAGGGAATGCAAGTTTGATTCCTGCTGAAAGCCACATATGGCTTTTGTCAAGTGTCAATTTCTCTGTTTAAATACAAAATATCCATTAATTGCTATATATATATATATATATATATATATATATATATATAACAGAGAAATCCAAAATTACTTCATGAATTATAGACTATTTCAACTAATGTCAAAAGTGTTAGCCTTATTCAACTCAAATAGTGAACTGTATTCTGACAGTGGACTAGTTCTGTCACTAAATACAGTCCACTATTTGAGTTGAATAAGGCTAACACTTTCAACACTAGTTGAAATAGTCTATACTCATGAAGTAAATTTGGATTTCTGTTATAATGAAGACATTGAGTTCCTTTCGTGGATCAGTTTTAATATTTTATATTATTAGGGTCCACTTGGATTATATACCAACAGATTTATTACTTGTAATATATATATATATATATATATATATATTAGTGCGTACACGCACACTATTTAATTAGGAAAGGTCAAATGAAATTCAAGCCTAATTAAGAAATAAAAGTTATTTCATTATTGAGACAGAAAGTTATATATTTCTTACTGACATTCAAATTTTATCTGAATTTCTGGGATGAGGAGTTATCATTATTGACACTATTTACATTTGGACTATTGTCCTTATCTTTGTTGTTGTTATCAGAAGATTTTGCCCATTGTGCATTACAACCTTCATCAGATGTATATTGACCTGGATAATCTACAGGGAATTCTGAACTGAACCCTTTATTTAATTTATGGGGATAGGCAGTTTTACAAGAAATAGCCTAGTTGTAACTGTCATGTTTCTTTTTTGTTCAGAATCAAATCATGGTTACTACAAAGATCCAATTAAACATTATTCATTCAAACTGGTATTTTTTTTTCTTTAGCTTTTGAAAATGTGTAAAATGTATGATAGCAGCCATTGGATTGAAAATTTTGGTGACTACTGCTGGAGATCAACAAAGTCATTGGAGCAATTTTTATAATGAGTAAAATGATGAAGACATTATTTTCTTAAATTATGTTTTCATTATCAAGTAAAAATTGAACTTATTGGAAGAAAATTTGATGTATACAAGTATTTTTTCTCTTTTTAAATTCATGATATAAAAATTCCTCAATTTCTGTCCTTTCCCTGGTTACATAATAAAACCAAACATTTTTAGCTTTGAGAAACAATCACAATTTAAAGGCATTTAAAAACAATATAATGTCATTTGTTTCAAGAAATATGGATGTCATTTTTTACCCTAGTATTGACTGAAGTTGCTTGGTTATCAATTTCACTAATACTGCTGCTAGTACTGCCATCTGAAAAAGAAAGAAAAAGACATTTTCAGATCAGTTCTTTAACTCCATCAAAATCAAGGAATAAAAAAAAACAAACTGCTATGCGTACAAATTAACAAATTTTAAACAAAAGACAATCAACCGCACTTACTTGATACTTGACTAGGTAACCTGGTTGTTCGCCGTGTTTGTGGTGGTGGTCCAGTTGCAGCTGGGGTATTTGGTTGAATGTGATTCATTGATGGATTATCATTCAGCTAAAAAAAAAAAAAAAAAAAAAAAAAAAATTAATGAGTAGCTAAATATTTACACACACACACACACGTTGATTTTTCTTTTTTAAATTGTATGAAATGTCTTTTAAAGTTTCATAGACAGAAAATATGCAAAATTATTTTTTTAAAGAATATTGATTAATCAAAACTTTGTGGGTTAAAGCCTAAACATTTTTTATTAGATTTTTTTTTTAGTGAATATTGCATTAATAATTTTAGGAGAATAAAAATGATTTTTCCAAATAAAATTCCTACTATTTAACTCATATCTGAGCTGGGGAGATGGATTGATACCTTTCCCAAGAGTATTTGTGTATAATTTAATGTAATAAACCAGACTGGAATTTGAACTTGGCTCTTCAATTTCTTTTAAATAAAGAGGGGAAAGAGAGAAAGAGAAAACATATTGGCACAGTTGTTATCCAAAGCTGATAAATAATAATTGAGTATCGACTGCATTGTAGCATTGGGAAGAAACATCCACATAATTTATATAATTTAATCTATACTTATAAAATTTATAATACTATCATTTATGTGAGTAACTATGCATGCATAGATCAATGAATCTGTAGTTTAACAGCTAGATGCTGATCTGAAATTTACACTGTATAAAGTTTGATCTACATAATCTCCTTCCATGTCAATGCACTTAATTATGCTAAAAAAATGTATGCTTCCTCATTTAAACTATGGATTTACTGATATATATATATATATAAAGACTAATTTCATATAAGCAAGAAACAAAATGCTTTTACTATCAGTAGGTAGTTCACTGTAGACAAAGTGAAATATTAGCTTAAAAGTCTCCATCTTAATATATAATAGACAAAATTTGGTGGGGGGTTATTTTATTAGGGAAAATAACATATGTAAAGAGGTAATGGATTTTTTTTATTTATTAATCCTACAGATATTACTTTAAACATTATTTTAGTGGATAGACTAAAGCAGTAGACACTCCATTTATTTTTGTCTACTCACCTGAATATAAGAGAAATTTTATTAAAGAAAATATGTGCCCTATGGCATATTTTCTTTGATAAAATATTGCAAATATTCAGGCTGGTAGATGAAAATAAATATATTGTTTAATAAATAAACAGAGTGTCTACTAAAATATGGGTATCCACTAAATATAATGTTTAAGTAATAAAATATATATATATATATATATATATATATATATATATATATATATATATCTCCATCCTTTGGTGTAAGCAAAACAGTGCTCAAGGCAAAATAACAACGCTATTAAGTATATATTAATAAATATACATAATACATCATGCCAACACTATTGGTTGGTTCACTCAAATAAAAAAGAAAGTGAATGCTCTTTTATACAATTTGATATTTGCAACTTCTACCTGTCTATCACTGAGGAACTATTGACTGATGGCTGCAATAAAATTGACCAACAATTACTGACCCATAAGCAACCAGGACATTAATATCATAAAGCAGGCCCAAAACCCCATCCTGTTCCATGAAGGTTACCTGTGGACTAACCGTAACAAGCCTGATTTTTGCATTGCTGAGAGTGTGTGTGTGTGTGTGTGATAGACTTGGCGGAGGCTTGTGAACTAGTCAGTATTCTGCCATTTCGGTGACTAAAGTTCATCTTTGATATTAATAACACTGGACTCTATAGAGACAATGATATAATATTCCTGAATAAAACAGATGCATAAAATACAGAATGGCTAAGAAAAAGCCTGATTAAATTCTTTAAAGTGCACAGTCTGAGTATCATCACCATCACCAATGCTAAAGTGATCAACTTCCTAGATGTAACATTGGAACTATCTAATGGACTCTATTTAGATTTATACAACCATAGGTATGTCAACAATCTAACCACCATCCTAGAATACTAAACAATTTATATAAATCTGCCCAATTTAGACTGTCCACCAACTCAAGTAATAAGGATATTTTTGACAAGTATAAAAGCAAATCTATAGAAACCATAGAACAAAGTAATCATAAACTTAACCTAGAGTTCTTAGATATTAACAATAATGATGCTAACAAGCTGAAATACTGTAAACACAATATCCTATAGTTTCACCCACCCTTTAGCAGCAATGTCAAAATTAACAGTGGAAGAATTTTCCTGAATTTAATCCATAAGCATTTCAATCATTCCCCAACACTAAAAAAACATGACAATGTTATACTAAACAAGCACTTAACCAACCTACAAGTACACCCCCACAATTGAAGAATGCAACTGCCAAAAAAACAAAATCTGCTCACTAAATGGCAAATACATGACTAAAGGTATAATTTATAGAGCTAATATCAAATATGATGGTGAGGTCAAGTTCTATTTATGTTCAACTGAAAACCATTGGAAATGATGTTTCTACCATCACTAAATGACATTAGGCAATAATAAATATAGTAACAGCACTGCTCTCTCTAATTTTTTCTGGAAAATAAAAAGTGGTAGTAGAAACTCAACTATTACCTAGGATTACATAACAAAAGTCAAACCTTTCAGCAGAAAAGGTGATAAATATATCTTATGTTTTTCTGAGAAGTTAATGATCCTAAAAATATAGATAACCCTAATATGTTAAACAAAAGAAGTGAATTAATGACCACATACATACATATAAAAAAATTACTACTCAAGTATGCTGACCCAGATTAATATAGTTTTAGGCAAAAAAAGAAAAAAAAAAAAAGAAAAGATACCCCCACCTTGATTTTAACATCTGTTTATCAAAAGTGTTCATAGATGTCATTTTTAAACCGAAACTAGATTTTCTAATTTTTAATTTTCAGTTTTAAATGTAAGTTTGAAACTCAAGCTTAAATTCAGAGTTATTCAAAACTTTAAATTCAAAGTTATATTATACTACTATTAAATATTTAACAACACTAATAACTTACCCAGATAACACCACAAAACTGTGAAACCCAGAAATATTAACCAGACTGTAATAAGCTCCCAGTACCTGATGATTGCATGGTGCATGAAACTTCAAGTTGTACTGTTGCCATGGGGTATTATATATATATATATATATATATATATACACACACACACAGAATTAAAATTAAATATTATCAAAGTATTTCTTCTCTTAAATATACAGTATCTAACATTTTAATGTTCAACATTATAATCAATAATGCATAATTAATATAGATGTGTGGGTAGTGTAATGGATATCATCACAGAAAGTGGAATCAGTGAACCAAATTTAAATTCTGACCTGGTCTGCTGAGTTAAATTTTGTACAATTGCCCTTGGGAAGGCAATAATGATTTTATTTATCCCTCACCTATGGGTTAAATAACAGGGTAGGCAGGACACTAACCACTAGTGGCAAGCAGTCTAAGAAGAAAAACTGAATTCTAAACTGTATAGAAGGCAATGAAACACCACTCCACTATCTTTCCTAAAAAGTGACAGCAATTCATAGATAAAGAAAAGCAATGTGTGAAGAGCCATGACCTTGATACATCTTAAAATGACATGGCATTAATAAAATTAAAAAAAAGAAAAAAGAAACAAAAGCTAGGATTTTATTTCTGCAAAAAATAAAAGTAAAATAAACAAATTACTTTATGTTACAATTGTTTTTTTTTTTTAATTGTAAAGCAGGGAAATTTATAAATTTTTTTTTAAATTTAAAATGAAGATGCTACAGATAAAAAATGATTTGTACCAAAAGTTGCTAAAATTTAAAATCCTGTTTTACTGTCTCAAAAATATATATATATATATATATATATATATATATATATATATATATATATATATATATATACCTACTACTGCTCTTACTCCTTTGATCTAAATTGCAGGCAAATTATTTCTGATTATTTTTTTTTTGATTTTTACCTTCATCAAACTGTCAAATGAATTTTAATTGTACAATGTTTCTTTAGAAATTTTGATGAAACTAAAATAATTAAAACCTTTTTATTTTGGTTATTTGTCATCAAAATGACATTTTTGCACTTTTTGTTTATTTCAGTAGCTCTTTTTACTTCACTGCATTTTTCTAACAAATTCCAGACATAATGATGCCTCACTAGCACAAGGAAAAATTAATATTAACCTTTTAGTGACCAATGTTTCACTAGTGGAACAGATTTTAAAACATTTTTTTAGTACCAGACAAGCATTAATTTTGATTATTTTATTTTTTATCAATAACATACACGGAAAAAACTACAATATGTGTTTATACATCATTTTAAGATACAATTTGAGATATCAGTTTATACTGATTTTTGTCAAATTTTTGTAACCATGTTCTGGCACTAAAAGGTTAATATCATTCATATAATAACTACAGGTAAGAACATCTTTCAAATAAATGATGTAACACAGAGACACACTCAGCATTTGCCAATATATAAAACAGACATTTAAAGTTTTTTTTTGTTTTTTGTTTTTTTTTTAAAAAAAAGGTGCAAATATTATTCTACAGTAAATACACTGGTATTATGATGACTTTGAAATGGATAGTTTTGGGATTTGGATGAGTTGCAATGAACAATCATATTCCAAACACTCTTGTATAACATGCACCGTATAAAGCTAGCAGATACATTTAGTTGATTTTTTGCTCCACAAAAATCAAGCAGTACCATTTCCAGAATGTCAAACTGGTCAAAATTGAGTGACATCACTAATATTAGAATGACATTGTTTAATAAGTTACAAGATGGCATGCACAACAGATAATGCCAAAAATGTTATTTTTATTTATTATTTTTAATTTTTGCCTGAATTTCTGAGATGAGGAGTTATCATGATTTACACTATTTATATTCAGACTAATGTCCTCATCTTTGTTGCTTTTATCCTGTTTCAGCTGTTGTCCACCCTGGCCTTCTTCAGGTGTATATCAATCTGGATAACCTGCAGGAAATTCCAAAGTGAGCCTTTTATTTAATCTACAGGGGCAGAATGTTCTCGTTCTACTGCTACTGTCTAGGGATATCGTCTAGTTCTTATTTTTTATTTAGTACTGTTCAGTTATTGTTTGCCTGTTTCCACTGAGTGCAACATACTGCTCGGTCAATGGATTTAACTCACAACCACTATATCACCAAATAAAAACTAGATAATATCTCTGGACAGGAGCAGTGGAACGAGAACAGTCAGCCCCTGTAGATTAAATAAAGGGCTCACTTCGGAATTCTCTGTAAGTTACCCAGATCGATATACACCTGAGGAAGGCTGTAGGGCACACTGGCTGAAATGTTGTGATACAAACAACAAAGATGAGGACAATCAATAGTCGAAATATAAATAGTATTTTTAATTTGTGCATATATCCAAATCAAGGGAGTTTATGCATTTTTTTTTTAATAAATAAAAGAAAAGATAAAAGGAAAATTTTCTTTGCTGATGCATTTCATTTCCTGAGGAACTTTATCAAGGCAAATGTGGAGATTTTATTTAGTAACCTGTATTTATAGATGGAAGTAATGTGGAGAAAAATATTGTTCAGTTTTAAAATGTTTCAACTATGGCTGCTCTAAAATCTAGAAACTTACTGTGTAAGGAAAGGTAAACAATAGAGAATGCTAAGTGATGTAATTTTTTACCCATTTAATGAAAGTTCATAGTTGTTAATGATTTTATATATATATATATATATATATATATATATATATATATTATTATTTCTAGATATTTTATTAAAATTTTTTTATGTATGAGGAAAATAGCACAATGTGTGTGTGTGTGTGTGTGTGTATATATATATATATATATATATATATATAAAGTAAATTTAGGAAGCAATTGAAAAGTATAGACATTTTATTCTATTAAATTTGAAAGTTTTTTTTTTTCTAAATTGCAATAAAAAAAACCCATCAAATGTAATAGACATAAAATGTCTACACTTTTTTATATATATATATATATATATATATATATATATATATATATATAAAGTATATTTGTATGAATAAATGCATATTCAACTTAACAATTACATTTTAAAATATATATATATATATATATATATATAAAAATAATATATACATTTTAAAATATATATATAAAATTATGTCACATAATTGATAAGTGTGCATGTTTATATATACATATGAGAGTGTGCTTGCAATTACCTGTGTTTATAAATGCCTATGAGCAAAAAAAAAATTACATACACAGAGTATCAAGAAATAAATGAACATATTGAAAAGGAAAAGTGTGCAGAAGCCTACAATACAGATGTGGTCATATCAACATCAAAGAAGAGACTGAGAATATTTAGTTGACACAATGCAAAATATTCATCAAACAAAAAAAACATTTTGTCTTTGGTAACAGCGAAAAGATTTCTAGTTTGGATTCACATACCAATTTACTTTCTCGGCTCTGTAACCACTTGGCATCTTCTTCTGATTCTTGTTGTTGCCTCCGAAGCTGGTCTTCCAACATCTGTTGTTCCATTTCTTCTGTGGTCACCTGCATGTGTTGAGCGAGAGACATTTCACTGTTTGTCAAAATAGGATGATCCTGAGGCATCACGGGTTAAAAAAAAGAAAAAAAAAAAAAAGAATTTTTTTTTTCTTCTCTTTTTAAAGAAAGATATACACATCAAGTAACTTGTCTAAGCAAAGGAAGAAAGAAAAAAATGGAAATCTGTTCAATTCCCCTCATGGATACATAATGGTGATTTTGCCTGGAGAGATTGTGGAAATTTAAAAACTGAAGTTGTAAAGATGATTAATGTGTGGTTATCAAAATAAGCCTGATAATATCAAAAGATATAAAATGATCTTACTAAATGTAAAGTGCAGACTGGTTGTTAAAAAGAAGGGGGGGGGCTTTTAATGCTGGCTCCTCTAGCTTAAGTCTGGCTTCAAGCAAGCATTTCTCATTATAATGGTGAAAAAAATGTTTATTCAGTTAAATACTGAACTCTCTTTCATTCATACACACACACACACACATCAATGCCAGAAGGCATAGGAAGAGAGAAAGCGGTTTTGAAAGAGAATCATATCTTGAGGATAGGAATAGTGAATGGGCTAACTGTTCATTGAGACACTCCTACCCTCAGCACTGGCCAAATATTCTAGAATAAGGCTCCCACTTCAAGAATATCATGATAACTCCCCCTGCTGCACTACCCCCTGCAGGGAAGGAGGAGGGTAGGGCTGGTTTTCCTCATCACTGGAGTTCATAAGATTTCAGACAGTCTGTCCAGAAATAGCAACTTTAAGATAAGCAGAGTGAGCAAAGAAAGTAAATTCTTACAAAGAGTAAATTATCTTCCTTTAGAAAAAAAAAATGTTTAAAGAAATAAAATGTTCAACTTGAAAGTCTATTTTCTTAACTTTTCATTTGCACTTCTCAAGGTTTTAATCATCTATGTGGAAACAAAAATTATATGAGATCAAATATGGATCAGAATCAATCTGGCAATGATAAGATAAGAAACAAGTAGGAAACACACACATTTTATATATATATATAAACAAATGTATATATAATTATCCTATTAAAACATTTATATATAGCACAAGAGGTGCTAAAAAGTTCTCAGCTCAAACACAAAGCAAAGAGTCCCCACCCCAAAATCCTGATCTTTTTTTGTTTTGTAAGGATTTCTTGGTCAGGCCAAGAAATTTTTACTATATATATATATATATATATATATATATATATATATAAAATGAGGAGGTATTAACATACTTTTAAACACATGCATAAACACACAAACATTCTAGGTCTTTTGTTTGATGAGACAAAGAGTTTCTGTTTGTTCTGAATGTGTGTCACAGCTTTTAAACTATACATGACATGATTTTTCATTAGGCCCTTTTGTGAAACTCAATATTTGCCTTAGAAGGTCCCCACATTTCTGAGTTCAATTCTCTGGGTGTTCTTCTTAATAACATAAATTTACATTCATGTTATGAACTTAACAAAAATTAAGCCAAGACTGCAAAATTATCAATGAATGTGCTTTTTGTGAGCAAAATTTATGAGGAATTAAAAAAGGTCATTCCTAATTAGAAAGTGAAAAAACTGTTAATGCACCATAATGAACCAATGCCAATAAAGTAGGGTACACTCACATACATCAATTTTTATTTTTTAGTGATTAAGTTTAAAAAAAATGCAACTAAAAATTATTTTTGCATTTACACAGTTTGCTCATAATTTATATAAAGTCCATTTTATAAAACATTTTTTTTATAAATTTAGTTTGCTGAGAGATTAATAAAATATGTGAGGATTTAGTAATTTCTTGTTTTATGTTGGATATGAGGAGTGATCATTTTACATCTCAGACTATTATTATTATCATCATCATCATGTGAAGCATCAATAAAACATGGTAAATCTGTCTCACATGATTTTCTTTTCTTTCCAAACCAAAAAAAATAAAAACGGTTTTATTTGATTTCTTAATATTTTCATTATACATTTTGGACTAATTTACTTTTATTACTAGAGCATAACAATATAGAACAAATAACTGGATGAAAAGAAGTACCATATAAAATCCACTTTTACCCTAAATAGTAGAATTTCAGGAATTTTTATGAAAGGTGAAATATTGTAAGAACCTGGGCACAAATTTAGCATAGAAAAAACAAAAATCAGTGGAATTTCCAAACATTTTTGTCTAAGTAAATTACTTTATTTTATTTTAATTAAAGCAGCATTTTTAAGTTGAAAAAATGCTGATTTTAATTAAAATAGAAAGTAATTTATTGAGGTGAAAATGTATAGAAAGTGCATTGATTTCTGAGTTTTCCATGATAAATTTTTAATAAATGCATTAATGAAAAAAAAAGAAAGTATTCTGAACTCTAGCAAATAGGGAATTTGGATGAAGTTCCAGTAACATTTGATGTACCATCCAATAACTTTTCTTTATATTTTCTATTGAAACTGAAAGAGGGTTTTTATGACATCAAATATGATAGCGGGTTAAAGCATTCATTTATTATTTTCATATAATAGTAATTGTAAGTTCAATCCCTTGGCCAGGTAGTACAGACTTAGATTCAATGGAAACAGGGTGAACAACAATTGAGCAGTACTAAAATTATCAAGGTGAGATATCCCTAGAGATTGTCAGTGGAACAAGAACAATCTACCCCTGTAGATTAAATAAAGGGTTAATTTTGAAAATTCCCTGAAAGTTAACTAAATCAGCAGACACATGATGAAGCCTGGAAGGTACAATGGTTGAAATGTTATGCTAGGAACAACAAAGATGGGGATATTAATCTGAATATAAATAACATGACTTATATTTGGATCTGTCAAGCTGTTGGCCTCCATCACTGAAGTGTATTAAGTGACATTCATTTCAGATGTTCTTTGCATATCGGATGCAAGTTCAAATTTTATCAGAGGCACACTGCTTACTTTAATGGTGAAACAGGATATATATTTATTGCCTGAGAGCATTTTGATAAAAAGCAACAATGACAGGAAAGAAAAACTATTCCAAAAATAAGTACAGTATACCAAAGTAGGTTTAGAATAATGCAATAACTATGTTAAAAAAAAAAGAAGAAAAATAAATGTAATAATTTTACTAATTCAGACTCATTTTGTAAAAAAAAAAAAAAAAAAATTAAAGATGCATCAATGAAAAATATTTAAGCTGAGAAACTGTATCTAAGACTAACTTATGTGCCTTGCATTATAAAATGAGATATGCTATATTTTGGTAGTAGTTGAAAATCTAAAAATGGAACTTTAGAAAGTTAAAAAGATGTTACATAATTACTACTAAATTCAGGTGTGTGTATATATAATAATATTTGATTAACTAGATACAATGGATTAATAAATTAAAACTTTTTTTTTTTTTTTAAAGTTTTGGTCTCAAATCTAGTGTTAATCATAATGAAGTGAAAAACAAAATTCATGAATAAAGTTATCAAACCAAGAACAAACTTCTGACAAAATAAATGTGAAGAAGAGTGGAGAACAAATTAATTAAAATTTTATGAAGATAAAAACAATAAAGATTAGGATAATAATAAACAAAAATCAAATGATGAAGTTTGGTTTCTGTATACAACACATAATACAATGTGTAAAAAGAAATTGCCGTCTTACCGGTGGTGAATAATGCCGGTGTCCAATTCCTCCATTAAATGAATCTTGTCGATGAATCTGTAAATCTCCTGCAGCTACACTGGATGATGACGATGACAAATGTTCAATTGGAAAAGTCTGTTGATTTTCAGGTGGATACCTTTCCTATAGTTCCAGAATAGATAAAGATTTCATTTATTGTGCTATGATGTACATGCCATTAAGTCATTACCATTGGGTAATCACAAATAAAGTTTACATGAATCTTGATTTATAGGAAAAATGAAAAAAAACATTAGAATCAGATTGTCTCTATGTTGAAAACTAATGAGTCCTATATTTCAAAATTTCAGAAAGAAACTCATTAAAATAACCTTTTTTCAGATGTTCAAAACTCTTAAAAATATTGTACACCATCTTTTAAATTGACAATTTTATTTAAGATTTATGGATAGATTCTGTGCACTAGTTCTCTGTATTCAGCTCTTCCAAAAAGTGTGGTTGGTTCAGCACAAACCTTCATCAACTATACTCAAATCATATGGCAGTTAGTTTGGCTGTTTGATTCTGAGAACTGCAGGACCCTCATACATCAAAAAACGACAGATAAGTTCTGCACACAGACACACACATAACAACATATGTGACGTCATGAGATGCAGTGCGATTTTTGCTTCTAGCGTCTTATATGCGCGTGTTTATCGTTGCTTAGAAATCATCTATGTAAACAATGACAGACTATCATCACTGTCGTGTCCATATATTGTTTAATATGTTGTAATTGACATCTTTGATAATGACTTATGTAAGCCGAAAGCTTAGATTGTATTAAAAAAATATGGATCAATATTGTGAATTTCTTTCTTTGTTCAATGATGTTATTAAACTTATCAGACGTTACGAAAAAATTTTACATAAAATAAACAGACAACACTTGTCTATATTATTTAATGAAACGTGCACATTATATATATATATATATATATATTCAAATAAAAAGAAAGAACAGTAAGATATATAATCCGGTGTTCTTATAGATATTTTTATTTTTACAAAATAGCGCTCAATGTAAATTTACAGAGCATTAATATTATAAATTAATTGATTTAGTTCCATTTCATCCTCAAGCGTGAGGATGAAATGGAACTAATGTCTTTAATTTAATTGCAAAATTAAATTTGTGGCTTTTAGCTTCCATTTTTGAAACATGGTTAGAACTGTGTAGCGGAAAAAACCATATTTTAAATCAATTAATTTATAATATATATATATATAAAAACAGCAATTCCTCCAATAAATTAGTTGACCAACATATAAAACACTACCTTTCAAATATTCATAATAATAAGAAATAAAAAAAACTGACAACAACACTATTAAACTTTTCTATAAAAATCAAATGCACCGCAACTATAAACTTGATGAACTAGTTATAACTAACACCATCCACAGATATACTAAACACATCCAACATAAACAAATAAAATTAATAATATACTAAATTTAAAACCTCAAACATAATTGTCTGAAATACTACCCCCACCCCAGCAAAAACTGTTCCTCAATAAAACCAATGTAGTGTATATGTTTACTTGCCCATTTTGAGAATGCTTTTCACATAATAACCATAGCACATACATCAGACACATAACCACAACTCTCTCACGTAGACTCACATACCAGCTTAATGACACCAGCGCCATAAAAATCATCTTGTAACAATACACAACACCACTAGTAACCATTTCAAATCATCCAACATAAAAAAATCTTAATCATATCTAATCTTCCAAATAATAAACATCAACCTCCTCCTTATTAATAATGAACTAAACCAACAATAGCATCTATTATCTATAAAACTTAATCAATAAACAGTATATTTTCAAACCAAAACATACGCCATGATGGCAGTTGACGATAACCAAAAGTGCTTGGCAAAAAAACCATCGACTAGAGTCCTATTTCAACAACTTAGACCCAAATATTAAAAAACGAGATAGCAAGAAAAAACTGAAAAAAGATCATGAAACGGAAAAGTTCTGTAGTTTTTAACAATACATGCCTGAATATATATATATATATATATATATATATATAATTTTAAAAGAATTATAGTTGTTCCTCACCACTCGATACTACTTAAAGTTTCATGCACATGGCAATAATCAGGCATAAATTACAATTGTCTGTTCTAACATTTTTTAATTTGACAGCTACAAAAAAGATAATGTAGTCAATCTCCATTTGGTAAAAAAAAGTTACAAAAAATATAAAATAATAAAAAAGGAACTATGTAGACCTTTTTATATATATATCTTAGCTTGGTTATTTTATATTTTTATTATTTTTTACTCCCAATTCATCACTGTTGAGAAATCTGAAATCATGTACTACTTTGCCCAACTTATGTTTCTCTTTGTGATGTTTGCTTAAATGTCTTTGAAGGTTATTAACTTTCTTACTATTCTGCATCTTTCCTCTGTTTAAATTTACAACATCAACTTCAAATATTTTCCTGCTTGTCAATCCACTTATATATTATCAATTTAATTCTACTCATTTTGTGATATCCTTAAAGCCAGTTTGTTTTTTTTATTGTTCTTACAGTGTCAATATTTTCAATTTCATTTTTTAACTGTTCTGTGAACTCTGTTCAACTTTTTTACAATTTCCAAAACTGTTTTTCCATTGCTCAATAAACTTTGTTTCTCTATTGGTGTTTTATTTTCTCATGACAATTTTTATATATCCAAAATCAAACCAGTAATTATATTAATTTTCAATATCATGAATAACCATCCAGTTGCTTAATAAAATATCTCACCACTAAATAGGTTATTATATATATTTCTTAATAAAAACATATTATAAGCAGAAATTCACATGGACTATTTATCATGTAATTATATCCAGAAAATATTACCAACATTGGTTGGTTAATACCAGTTGTATTGCACAAACATTGACTCACATAATAAAATCTGACAGTATATAATTAATATTGAATTTAGATATTAAATATTGTTTAAATAATTATATCAGATTAATTTCCCTTAACCAGGTACAATGTGTTAATATAATGAGGTCAATGTTCTGCTGTTTTTTGTTTTAGTCTGTGAATTGCATATTATTGCAATGAACATATATTGGAAAATGCAATAGAAAATTAGATTACACATATCCTATAAAATTATATCAGGATTATCAGTTAAAACAATGACAGTCTACTACTTTTAAAAGAAATTATCATTAGACTATTTGATAGTCCAACATTATTCCAATCCCCACTAATATATTTAAGTTTAAAGCAGGTCACCTTGTATGAAATTATCAGTGGCATCCAATGTAGTTAAAAATGTTTACAAATTGCTTTCAATTAACATTGTATATTATATTAGCACTCAGAATTGCTCAGCTAAATTTATTTCTTGACCAACTTTTGGTCTTGTTAAAACACAGGCATTCATTGTATGCCATATTTGATTATACTTTATATTTTCCAGAAGATCTGTGTAGGCTGACATGTCTTGGGTATGGGTGTGTGTTTATATATATATAAATACACACACACACAAATAATAACAACTGGACTTTGTGTCTAAGTATAGATAGAAACTACCATAAATATATACTACATATATATGAATGCATGCAGTCTTTTATGAAAGTTTTATAAATGGAATCAAGATATCAGCAGCAGCTCCCCCTTCTCCTCCTTACAAATTACTTGATTCATAAAAAGTTTCTGGATCAGTTTAAAATGTAAAGCTGACCAAATTTTTAATACAAAAATGGGAGAATGGTGACCCATTTCCAGTTTAGTTGAGTTGAGTTTTTTCCTCCATTTGATATTGAGGGATGGGGTAATTGAGAGAAAGAGTAAAAAAACATAGCTTGTGAGATAAGCAAAGACAAACTAAATTTGGCACAAGAGTAACTCCAAAGAAACTGAAAAATATCAGGATCTAGCTAAGGAGTTGAAAAAGCTATGGAATCTGACTTTTCCTGCAGTACTACTTAGAACACCACCAAAAAATCTAAAGAGCACTTAAAGAGAATAGGAACTGAAACCAAAATTGTAGACCTCCAGAAAACTGCTATCATTTACTCTGCAAGGATTCTCTGAAACTGTGAGGAATCTTTTTGATACAATGCCTCAATTCTATGGATTACACTAATGTGTGATACCAACATAATAATGTTTCAACAAATCACAGCATAAAACTAAAAAGAAATGAAAAGCTGGAAAAGTATTTTTATCTTGGCAGAGAAAGTGAAACATCCCAAATAAATTTGCAAAGTGGATGCAAGAACTGCAAATCTAATGAAGAATCAGGTTTAACCAGACAATAGGAAATGAAAGAGCACTGGAGAATTTAAAGAAACTTGTCATTTGATGTTGGGTGAAAACTACTAATTATCACTGATATAAAAATTCAATGAATACAAAACACCTAATTGTTTCTATTTTAAACTTTTCCTCCTGTTTTTAAATAGAAATAGAAATTTCTCATGTATGAATCAGCCTTTATTTTAAAAAACTTGTATAGAAACTGCTTCAGGGTGTCTCAAAAAATGTATATACACACTTTTACAATGTTTTCTGATTCACCAGACTTCACCCCTTTAGACTTTGTTTTTGTAGGGGCTACATAAAAGATGAAGTCTACACTACAAAGCCAGTAACAATTGCTGAAATGAAAGATCCTATAGAGTAAGAATGCAGCCCTACGGAAACTTTCATTAAAATCAACATTGCGTCCCCATTGTCAGCAATATCTGAATCATAATGGACATTAATTTGAAAACATGTGATAACAAAATCTTAAGAGCATGCATTGATACATAATAAATCCTGTCTTCATATGCCTTATTTAAATTAGATATAGTTGGTTCCAGTTGCTTGAATTATTTCTTGAGAAAGCTTCAAAATATGTAGACATATTTTTCTCTTTTAGACATCCTGTACATATCAACAAATAATCTGAAGGGAAAGAGAGAAGACATTTACATAAGACTCAATAACACAGATGGGCTTTAATTCCATCTCGGATAACTTGAGCATTTAATACTTAAGACAATTGATTGTATTAATAAATAATTATATATATACATATATATATATATATATATAAAGGATTACATATAAAGGATTTGTCCCA